GGTGAGTGTTTTTTTTCACATGTCGCGCTGTATCTCAAAAACAATTTATGATTATTGCTTAAAACTTTACACACTTCTTAGTTATATTAATCTTAAGATCTGTATACTTTGTGGTGATGATTCAAAATTTTATTTTTGAGTTATTGAGTATTTTGTAAAAAAAAGGGGAGGGGTTTTTCACATGTCGCGCGGTATCTCAAAAACAATTTATGATTATTGCTTAAAATTTTACACACTTCTTAGTTATATTAATCTAAAGATCTGTATACTTTTTGGTTTTGATTCAAAATTTTATTTTTGAGATATTGATTTTTTTTTTTTAAAAAGGGGGGTTTTCACATGTCGCGCCGTATCTCAAAAACGATTTATGATTATTGCTTAAAATTTTACACACTTCTTAGTTATATTAATCTAAAGATCTGTATACTTTTTGGTTTTGATTCAAAATTTTATTTTAGAGATATTGAGTTTTTTGTAAAAAAAAAGGGGGTTTTCGCATGTCAGGCTGTATGTCAGAAACTATGATTATTGCATAAAAATTCACACACAAGACGACTGGCTTATCATGCACTCATGGCGCAGCTGTTTATTTTCATATCTCATAGCTAGTGCCCCTTTAAAACAAGATAATCAAATAATCAAAAATACAGTCCTAGATTATCAAATAATCAAATAATCATGAAATATTTGTTCTGGTAATCAAATAATCACAATAAAAACGGCCAAGTAATCACATAATCAAAAACCCCATGAGGAGGCTCGCTATTGAATGTGGTCGATACAATAAAACAGCCTTAGAAAATAGAATATGTCCCTTATGTCATAAAGAGATAGAAGATGAATTCCATTTTATCATAACATGTACAGAACTTTATAAACCTAGGATCAAAATGTTTAATGAAATTTCTAATATTGTCCCCTGTTTTAATTCAATGAGTAATCAAAACAAATTTGATTTTATATTTTCTTGTGAAGAATGTGATACATGTATATTAATTATCATTGTTAACAGTATAAGTGAAAAGTATAATGAGAGAAACAACAATAATGCCAATATATGAACTGTGTATGATTCATGACTAATGTTATAATATAATATATAATCAAGATATTTGAAATGATAACTTTATAGAGGAAGCATGTTGTCAAAAATAGTATTGTAATAAGTATTAACACTTTTTATACGACCGCAAAAAAATTTTGTGGTCGTATATTGGTATGACGTTGGCGTCGTCGTTGTCGTCGTCCGAAGACACATTGGTTTTCGCACTCTAACTTTAGTTTAAGTAAATGGATCTTTTTGAAATTTGACCATAAGGTTAAATACCACAAAAGGAAGGTTGGGATTGATTTTGGGGGTTATGGTACCAACAGTTAAGGAATTAGGGGCCAAAAAGGGGCCAAAAATAAGCATTTTCTAGTTTCCAGACAATAACTGTGGAACGGTGTATGGATCTCTCTGAAATTATACTACAAGTTTCCATACCACAAAGGGATGGTTAGGATTTGTTTTGGGGGTTTATGGCTCAAACCGTTTAGGAATTAGGGGCAAAAAAGGGGGAAAAACAAGGTTGTCCTGGTTAATGGATAAATACTTTAGTACAAAACATAATTTAAAGCAGTGTAAGGGAGATAAATCAAATACATCATTGAAATTATCTCCCTTACACTACTTTTAAATTATGTATAAAGTAATGGTTAATGAACAATAAAGATAATTTAAAACAGTGTAAGGGAGGTAATCCAAATACAACGTTTTGGTTACTTCCCTTACACTGCTTTTAAATCATGTTTAAAGAAATGCATATTTATAAAGGAAGACCAGTAAAAATATCTGCAAATGTTGCATCTTTTTTTTTACAAAAAAATCCATATGAAAGATTTGACACTATATTTTTTAATTCTATTATAAAATAGATTAAGTTAGCACTATGGTAAATTTAAATGGGTAATTATGGTTGCCAACTCCATTGGAAATTTGAATTGAGATTATGACCATATCTTGAGGGAAAGAATTTTTTTTGGGGAAAAAAGGGGGGGGGGGGATAAAAAGAAATTATGGGGTGTCAATTTTTTCTCATTTCAGATTTCAGAAATTAAAAAAATTATCCTCAAATATTATTTTTTTTTCTAATTTCAAATATTGAAAAATTTCAAGAAGAAATCTTTAAAAGCACAGTATGGCGCATTAGATTTGTAAAATCTTTGATCACATTTATTTATTTGTTATGCCGAATCCAACAGTGTATTTAGATTTTTAATGTTGGGTCCAGTTTTCAAATTGGTCTACATTAAGGTCCAAAGGGTCCAAAATTAAACTTTGTTTGATTTCAACAAAAATTGAATATATGGGGTTCCTTGATATGCTGAATCTAAACATGTATTTAGATTTTTGATTTTTGGCCCAGTTTTCAAGTTGGTCCAAATTGGGGTCCAAAATTAAACTTTGTTTGATTTCAACAAAAAATGAATATATGGGGTTCCTTGATATGCTGAATCTAACCATGTATTTAGATTTTTTATTTGTGGACCCCGTTATCAAATTGGTTCATATTGAGGTCAAAAGGGTCCAAAATTAAACTTTGTTTGATTTCATCTAAAATTGAATTATTGGGGTTCTTTGATATTCCAAATCTAACCGTGTATTTAGATTTTTAATTTTGGGTCCTGTTTTTTAAATTGGTCTACGTTAAGGTCCAAAGGGTCCAAAATTAAACTTAGTTTGATTTTAACAAAAATTGAATTCTTGGGGTTTGTTGATATGCTGAATCTAAACATGTGTTTAGATTTTTGATTATGGGCCCAGTTTTCAAGTTGGTCCAAGATAGGGTCTAGTCTTTAAACTTTGTTTGATTTCAACAAAAATTGAATATATGGGGTTCTTTGATATGCTGAATCTAACCATGAATTTAGATTTTTGATTATGGGCCAAGTTTTCAAGTTGGTCCAAATTGGGGTCCAAAATTAAACTTTGTTTGATTTCAACAAAAATTGAATATATGAGGTTCTTTGATATGCTGAATCTAACCATGTATTTAGATTTTTTATTTGTAGGCCCGCTATCAAATTGGTTCATATTGAGGTCAAAAGGGTCCAAAATTAAACTTTGTTTGATTTCATCAAAAATTGAGTTATTGGGGTTCTTTGATATGCCAAATCTAACCGTATTTTTAGATTTTTAATTTGGGTCCCGTTTTTTAAATTGGTCTTCATTGAGGTCCAAAGGGTCCAAAATTAAACTTAGTTTGATTTTAACAAAAATTGAATTCTTGGGGTTCTTTGATATGCTGAATCTAAACATGTGTTTAGATTTTTTATTATGGGCACAGTTTTCAAGTTGGTCCAAGTTGGGGTCCAAAATTAAACTTTTTTTGATTTCAACAAAAATTGAATATATGGGGTTCTTTGATATGCTGAATCTAACCATGAATTTAGATTTTTTATTTGTGGGCCCCGCTATCAAATTGGTTCATATTGAGGTCAAAAGGGTCCAAAATTAAACTTTGTTTGATTTCATCAAAAATTTAATTATTGGGGTTCTTTGATATTCCAAATCTAACCGTGTATTTAGATTTTTAATTTTAAGTCCCGTTTTTTTTAAATTGGTCTACATTAAGGTCCAAAGGGTCCAAAATTAAACTTAGTTTGATTTTAGCAAAAATTGAATTCTTGGGGTTATTTGATATGCTGAATCTAAACATGTGTTTAGATTTTTGATTATGGGCCCAGTTTTCAAGTTTGTCCAAGTTGGGGTCCAAAATTAAACTTTGTTTGATTTTAACAAAAATTGAATATATGGGGTTCTTTGATATGCTGAATCTAACCATGTATTTTGATTTTGGACATTGGACCATAATAGGTAAATTAAAAAAATTCAAGTTCTTAGACCACATTCTTTCTGTGTCAGAAACCTATGCTGTGTCAAATATTTAATAACAATCCAAATTCAGAGCTGTATCAAGCTTGAATGTTGTGTCCATACTTGCCCCAACTGTTCAGGGTTCGACCTCTGCGGTCGTATCAAGCTGCGCCCCAGCGAAGCATTTTATTATTTTTTTTAATGCTACATGTTTGTATTGTTTTCTGTCTATCGTTTTGTTATTTATATGTTTTTTCTTTAGTAACAATTTATTGTTTGGATTTTAAACTAATAAAATTCTTATTCTTATTATTCTTATTCTATCTTGTTATTTGAAAATTGAATACCGTTATTATGTCACCAATGAAAGTGGACATAAACTCAAGGAGGGACAGTAAGGGGAGTGCAATAGATTACCTTCAAATAAGAATGCCAAAAGTCACTGAACAGATGAATTCTGGATGTCTGGGGTCTCAATGAAATTTTAGGCAACACATTGCCTGGCCTGAATTTATGAAAATAAGATGTAATGCAAGCTTTTAAGCATTAAATGTCTTTAAAAATGAAATATCAACGGAAGTCATAAAACTGAGAAGCTGTGAAAAAGTGGTAACTTTATAGATATCAATGAAAAAATGTGATTTGTGTAATTTTCAGGACTCATGATGAGTAAAAAAAAAAAATCGTCTGATGATGATAATGAGGATGAACAGCAACATTATGTCATAATGTTAGGAAGACCCCTATCATGATCAATACACTAAGATAAAGGAAAGGAAACTAACTTCAAGATAGTATCAAAAAGCAAAAGTTGAAAAAAAAAAACTGAGGAAATCACCTTACATAACAACTGATAAGACAAATAGAAATGACCATCATACACATAATACTTCACAATATATAAGGAGCTCATTGATTATGCAAAAATGATTACTCACGTTACGAGAGTTACTAAAAGTAAAAATAACACTAATTTCAGGTCAGTATTTGAATTGAGGCATGAAAGGGGACAGTTTATTATAGGCTACTTGAAAATTGTGAAAACTGTAGATATTGCCTCTTTAAAATTAGGCTTGACCTCATCAATGTTTACTTCTCTATACATTTTATAATATTAATGATGCAAAATCTTCTGTTTCAGATGGGTCAGACTATATTCCCCTTGGAGATTCTGACATGGAAGGTACTACTGACGTATCATTAATCACAGGCAAACTGAGGACTATAGGTCATGTGACACAACCAGAGGTTACATCAACATCAATCGTCACCAGAAACGAAGCAATGGCTGTTACAACTGTAAAGGCAGAAAATGCAGGTAAATTCAGCCAGGTTTAGTTGACTTGATTTTTTCTCGCTGCGTTGAAGACCCATGGGTGGCCTTTGGCTGTTTTCTGCTCTTTGGTCAGGTTGTTGACCCTTTTACACATTCCCCGTTTCCATTCTCTATTCTATTGTTTAGTGTTTTTGTGTAGTTGGGTTGCTGTCTCATTGATGTTTACTTGACATCCCCAATTGTTCATATTCACCTCATTTAAAAGCTGTGAAAAGAAAAAAATCTTACAGATTTATGTTCACTTATTACATAATACAAATGAAAACAGTTACAATTATTGACATATTATTATAAGACACCAATAAGCAACCATACTTTGGATACCATCTGAAACCCCCCTCCCCATCAGTATACACATTTTTTGAAAATAAAGTTATCATGAAGAGGATGTAAATATTTAGATTATGCTTTAAAGTCTGCACAGTGACAAAAAAGAATTATGATTGTAAAATGTGTTTTTATTGACCAAATTTGAATATTTATCTCGATAGAGATATAACTTGATAAATTGTTGAATAATTGATTTTCTGTGAATGGGATCAAGATTAAATTAAATCTCTCATATTATAAAAATTGACAATTTTTTGGTTCCACCTACAAATGTTCTACGTTTTAACATAGACCAGTACGGATGTGATGATTTAAGTTAAAAAAAACACACACCAAACCAGATTATGCACCTCTGTCAGTAATATGAAATTGATATATGGTTTTAAACATCTCAAGAGATTTATTTTTTGAGAGACTGCTCTAGTGTAAGACATATATCTGTGTATTGGAGAGTTGTAATATCTTTTTAATTCAACTCATCAGTGACCACTTCAATTATGGGACCAATTCCCAACTCTTAAAGGGACAGCCTTAAAAGTTGAAGACTATATCAATAATTTGTCTAGATAAAATACCGGTATTCAAAATCTGAAAATTACTTTAGTTATTTTAACAACAGTGTATTCTGAAATTATTTTAATATTTTGATTTTAAAACATGAGCAAAAGAAATTCACATTAATACAAAACTTGTAACTGGTGACCTGGTACTAATACGAAAATAAGGAAATGTGGTATGATTGCCAATGAGACACCTATCCACCATTGTCCAAAATATATGGATGTAAATTACTCATGTCACTGTACAGCCTTCAGCAATGAGCAAAACCCATACTGTTTAGTCAGTTGTGAAAGCAAAGCAATTCAAACAAGAAAACCAACAACTTGTTTTTTGACACAACAATAAACCAAAAACAAATAAACAGACAGCAACCAACAATTCCAACTGAATTGTAGATTCCTGATTTTGAATCAAGGACATAAATGTGGCGGGTTTAAACTTGTAAATGCTCATCCCTCCCCTTACCTGGGACAGTGACCCGGACAACAAAAGAACAAACTGTAAAAATCAGTTGGAAATGGTTTGAATCATCAAGTTTTCAGAGATCCATGTTTTACCTTTTTCTAACCATATGCAAGAAATTGTTTTACTTTATAATCCAGGTGTGACAAAATTATTTGAAATGCTATAATGTTGTTAGTGGGCAATGGAAATTGGCATTTTCACATTTATGTTTCTTGACAATGTAGAAATTTTTTTTTGTTCAGATGCGATTTTACAAAATACCTAAACAAATCAGGTATAGATAGGCAAAGGAACTCCGTATTCTATATTTTCACATTTGGAAGTAATCTTTTTCATTCAGTATATATGAGAAAGGCTTAGTTGATTGTGTTGTTTCCAAATGCTTTTAATCATTATTTCAATCAGGTATAGGTGTATTGACATATATTTTTTTGATGGATATAAAAATATAACTTGGTACCTGGAACTATCTAAGATCTTGATCTTATTCAAACTCTTCAAATTTCATTATGAAAGGGAAAGAAATAATGATTTGGGCTTGAATACACCGTGAACGCCAAGCCAGTTTGAAAAAAATATATTAATTAGGTTTAATATTTACCTCATGAAAGATCAATATCTTTAAGCAGCAAAATAAATCATAATGTTGACCTTGGTTTTAGTCATTGACACAGATTTAAACAAAAAATGTATTTAAATGTAATAAATTTTAGACTACTAATGAACAGCTTTTTTGATATGTGTTATAAATTACCATCAAACTTTACTTCTTTCCTTTTTTTTTATGGAATCTTTGTGAAAAATATATTTGATTTTTTTACTGATAATTCGTTGTTGTTTTTTCAAATTTTTGAAGGATTCTGTAGAAGGACAATGTATACAGTAAAATCACAAATTAAACTGGTTTTTAATCTTATGATAATTTTGAAAATAAGCTGAATAGTTCCTATTATACTAAAGTCAATTCTTTTCTTATATTTGACCTTATCAAATGAACGAGAAAGTATGATATGGTCACTTTTTTTACCGTATGAATTTGAAAATAATTTTTTTTTATATATTTATCAAATATATCCTTCATATGTTCACCATACATTTGTTTGTAGGATATTAGAATGATTTAAAGGGGTGCATGCAGTCTTCACGCTTAACCACAAGTACTACGGCCATGGCTTGTAAAATTGCTTTCAGGCTTGTAAAATTCTTCTCTACAAGCCAACAGAAAACAACTAAAATTTTCAAAAAATTGAGCTTCGGACTTGTGGACTCAAAAGTTTATCGTGAAGGCTGTGCATGTCTGTCTTATAGGCTTATAACTTGTCCTCATTTTCATGGTTCAATAATCAATTTTAAGGTTTAGTGATTAGGTCAGTTTTTCAGATACTATAATGAAGTTATAGGTTAACTATATTCTTGTAAATAATCATTTTAAGTTGTACATTTCCATCTGACAAAGACTAGGTTCATCTGAATTTTATTTTGATAATGTTAGTCTTTTGTGATACCTGTAATATGATCGTTATCTTGACATATTTCAACTAAAATTAAGTAATACATTGTACTAAACATTTCAGCATTTGCACTCTTGCGAGATCTTGTCCATAATTTAAAAAAAAATAGATAAGAGCAACAGCTTTACCTAAAAAGATCTTTTGCTATAAGTTTCTTATACACAGAAAATATCCTTTGGGGTAAGAATCTATCTCATTCAATTTTTTTTATCAAAAACTTAAAGTAAATATGCAATTTTAAAACAAATATTTCAGTTATAACATGTTATGATGTCACACATATCACTAATGACATGGCAGCACTTAAGTGACCAGACTGTAGATTAAATCCATAATTTATATGTTTATAACTTTGAAAGGGTTGAAGAATTGAACTGTGATAAATAATCTTATCAAACTTTCTCTTTTGGTAAAGGTTAACAAGTTATAGTTACATATGGACTTATCATAAATATAAATTGTTCATGATACAATTTGTTTATAATACTGACCATTAGGATCCGTGTTTTATGAATGAGTCAGGACATTTTTGTTTAATCTAGGCGATTTATTTTATCTGGGAGTGGGCTATCAAATCTCCCATAATCTCCTATTTATCAAAGGTTATTAAAGGTCCTCAGCATATTTCATTGTTAAACATATATACTTATCTTGCATCACAGATACAAGGGTGTCAATTTGAATCTTATTTGCCCAAGTGATTACGAAATGATTTGTATCTTCAAAATTCATTGATGTAATTATTTGTCATAATCTATTACCAATTTTCCTGAATCTTACGATTGCAATATATTAATATCTTTGTAGAGGAGTTCTTCTCATCACGTTCATGGAAAGGATTAGAACAGAATCTGGGTCAAACAGAAGTTAGTGATGCAGTCGAGGGAAGTAAAGGAATAGCAGCAGGTTACAGCTATGAACAGAATTGAATTTTAACTATTAAAAAATCATTTAAATATTACTTCCCCTGTCTGTTATCATCTCATTGTGTTTTCATTCCTCCATTGCCTCAGCATTCTTCAATTTTTATAATTTTCATTGTTTTTCCTCATTGGTCAGATGTGAAAATTGCAATGTTATTCCAATAAGATGAAAGAATATAAAGGCCAGAGGTAGGTTTATATGATTTGAAGGATTTTAAAATTTCTTCCCAAAACCAAATTATTATTGTGATTGACTTATTACATTTCATTTAGAGTTCTGACACAATTACAATTCAATCCAATAAATCATAGTGTACAATTATGCGAAAATTTTACCAAACTGCACTAGGAGAACTACAGTCAAGTCATTAATGTTAGTAGTGCAAGTGCAAAAAGAAAGAATAATTAGGCATCCCATCAGATATCAATTCCTCTTCATCTTTACAATTAAATATTCAGCTGAATTTCTTAACATACCAATTGTTGAAAGATATTTCAGTTGTGTAACAAATTTTATGGTGGAGTGAAATTCTAAAAAGTAAAATCACAGTAAAAACAAACATTACAATATTGTTCTGATGAATTGAGGCAGCAGTAGTTTACAAGGTTCAAAACCATAAATCAAGAAAATACAAATCAAGGCCACAAACTAAACTGAGGTAAAGTCGTCACTCACCACGATGAGTGAGTGATGACTTTGATATAGACCAGAGATTCCCTTTGTGGTCCCCATCAGGTAATAAAACATACCGGTAATTAAAGAAACTAAAAAAATCACATAGATTCCCACTACATTTGTCTCATTGGTTTCATGGTAGCATGCTCACCTCAAGAGCTGGACGTTGTTGGTTTAATCACTTAATAGATAAGCTTAGTATAGACCTTAAAATTACTATTTTTCTGCTTCTTTAGCAAATTACATTAAGGAATAAGAGTAGAGGCTGGGTGGCTATGCTAAAATAATATATCTGAGTACGTGATTTGTCTTCCTGTTGACTGTTACTCTGTGAACTAGAATGTAAACAATCTGGCTCAGAGTGTTAGCCTAGTACAAAGTAAGGTATATTTATATTTCATTAAGATGTTATTTTCCCCGATATGCATGTAAAATTTGTCACTGCACATTAAGCAACCTTCAATCAATCAATATCACTACTAAAGTTATTTCAATGGATGAAGGACAGCTACACAATTTATATTTTTTTATTTTATAAATTAATTTTTTAAGTGTCAAAAGAAGAGGCGGGACCAATTTCCCAAAAATTGATTTCACACAAGGGCCATGCATTTCAAAAAGTCTTATTTTATATCCAAAAAATGTAGAAAAAAAACATAAATTCTGTTAGCAGTAAAGCTATATATTGTCTTTGGGATGCAAGTTATCTATTGTTGGTTAGATTTTTTATATGCAAAATTTTCCAAAAATAGATAAAATTTGCAATTTTGCGTAAAAAATGCATTCAACAGCTCCGTGTAGCGGTGAATGATATTTGATTTAACAGAAAAATTGTTAAATTGTAGAAATATATTTTATGTATATACTGTATATTCAGAAATTATTGCATGCATTAAAGGGACATTCTAATGCAACATCGTTTGTAACGTTCATTTTGATTGGATAACGTCACCAATTTTCATGGCATCAATTCACAATTCATGCTATAAAAACGTATGCTTAAGCGCAGACGACGTATGACAGATTTTAAATGTATGATGTTGTTTTCTGTCAGTTTCCTTAGAATGGAGATAACAATATTGCATTTTAAGCTACGAGATATAAAAAGTTCAATCATAAATGAAAGTGAAATAGTGAAATAATAATTTGCTTTTAGCAGCCAGTTTGGTTCAATTTTGTCAAAATAAGCTAAGAAACACCGCTGATGAATTATTCACTTGTAAGCTATTAAAAAGAAAAGAATCTTCAATGTCAACATTGAAAGTGAAACAAGGGTAAACCATTTGTTGACTGATTCGATCCACAAAAACTCATTCTTATACAGGTAAAAACGATGATTAACATATTTGTTTAACCTATAAAATGAAATCAAACAGACCTGGAAAATCCTATTGCACGTGTTCTGCTTCACTATATATTTATATCTTTATGTTTATATCGGGTTATATGACTGTCGGCAGTCTTAGGAGGTCACATCGATCGTTAATTAGATTGCGTTTATACAAAAATACACACGAAATGTTGATACATATTATCGAGTCAATGGATTATTTGTTTATTTTAGACTTTTTGTAAGTTTGATATACGTTTTAGTAGGTTATAAATCAAATATTAGAATTTGAGTCAAATTGGTGATCATGAATTTGACAGCTAATGACCCTTTAATTATTGCTATTTTTAAAGAAGGGACTAAAATGTGAGATTAATTATTGCGATTTAAGGAAAATCTGAATACAGTCAGATATATGTATCAGATATCAGAATGCGCATTCTTATTATCGCGATACTCACACAGTCGCATTATTCAGATAAAAAAAAAAACACTTAATAATTTCTGAATTAACAGTATGCTATAGACTCTTAAAATCCAAATTACAGAACGATTTGACAACTTAGAGATTTTGACCCTGAGAGTGAAACAATCATGCCCACTTTGCTGTATTTCTAGTGTTTTTATACGCCCGTTTACGGGACGTATTATGGTATACCGTTGTCCGTCTGTCCGTCCGTCTGTCCGTCCGTCGTCAACATGTCGGACATTAACTCAAAAACGCTTTAACCAATTTGCATAAAACTTTGGTGAATTGTTTATATCTATTGACGTGAGCTCCCTTTCGTTTTTTATAAATTTTAGAATTTACGTTTCCGAGCTATGGGGTTTTATTCATTAAAAAAAGGGGGATTTTCCAGTTTTCGGACAATAAGTTAAGAATGCTTTCACCAACTTGCAAGAAATTGTGCTGAATTGTTTATATCTATTGACATGAGCTCCCTTTCGATTTTTATAAATTTTAGATTTTACGTTTCCGAGATACAGGGTTTTATTCATTAAAAAAAGGGGGATTTTCCAGTTTTCAGACAAAAACTCAAAAAATGCTTTCAGCAGTTCTTATGAAACTTTGGTGAATTGTTTATATCTATTGATGTAAGCTCCGTTTAGAATTTTATTAATTTTACATTTTACATTTCTGAGTTATGGGGTTTTATTCATTAAAAAAAGGGGGATTTTCCAGTTTTCGGACAATAACTCAAAAATGCTGTCAGCAATTCTCATGAAACTTTGGTTAATTGTTTATATCTATTGACGTAAGCTCCCTTTTGATTTTCATAAATTTCTAATATGACATTGAGAATTAATTGAACTTTATTTGTTTATAGTCTGACAACAGATTTACTAAGTATTGCGCAACAGCACAGTGTATTGCACAACAGCAAGAAATCTTTAATTGAATATAAATTCAATTCATATAACCAATTTCAAGTTCTTTGACTACAGTTATTCAGAAACCTATAATATGTCAAATATTTAATACAATCCAAATTCAGACCTGTATCAAGCTTGAATATTGTGTCCATTTTTGCCCCAACTGTTCAGGGTTGGACCTCTGCGGGCGTATCCAGCTGCGCTCAGCGAAGCAGTTTATTAGGGCTTCATCTACTTCTTTCAAAGGTATATTGAAGATATAAATGAGGAGATATGGTAAGACCCCTGTTTGTCTCCATGAAATTGACAAATAGTATTTTGTCTAAGAAATAATTGGGATGTCAATGTGACATCATAATCAATTTTTATACGACAGCAAACAATTTTTGCGGTCGTATATTGGTATGTCGTCGTCGTCCGAAGACACATTGATTTTCGCACAATAACTTGTTTAAGTGAATGGATCTCTATGAAATTTGACCATAAGGTTCAATACCACAAAAGGAAGGTTGGGATTGATTTTGGGTGTTATGGTACCAACAGTTAAGGAATTAGGGGCCAAAAATAAGCATTTTTCTAGTTTCCAGACAATAACTTGTGGAACGGTGTATTGTTCTCTCTGAAATTATACCACAAGTTTCCTTACCACAAAGGGATGGTTAGGATTTGCTTTGGGGGGTTATGGCTTAAACCGTTTAGGAATTAGGGGGAAAAACAAGAGTGTCCTGGTTAATGGACAAATACATTAGTGCAAAACATAATTTAAAGCAGTGTAAGGGAGGTAATTCAAATACATCATTTGAATTACCTCCCTTACACTGCTTTTAAATCATGTATAAAGTAATGGTTAATGAACAATTAAGACAATTTAAAAGCAGTGTAAGGGAGGTAATCAAAATACAACGTTTTGATTACCTCCTTACACTGCTTTTAAATTATGTTTAAGGAAATGCATATTTATAAAGGAAGACCAGTATAAATATCTGCAAATGTTGCATCTTTTTTTTTTACAAAAAAATCCATATGAAAGATTTGAAACCATATTTTAAATTCTATTATAAAATAGATTAAGTTAGCACTATGGTAAATTCAAATGGGTAATTATGGTTGCAAACTTCATTGGAAATTTGAATTGAGATTATGACCATATCTTGAGGGAATGATTTTTTTGGGGGGAAAAGGGGGGGTTGGTAAAAAGAAATTGTGGGGGTCAATTTTTTCTCATTTCAGATTTCAGAAATTAAAAAGAAAAATTCTTCAAATATTATTTTTTTTGCAAAAAAAAAGTGTGTGTGTGGTGGTTTGAGGGGGGGTAATACGCAACAGCATAGTGTATTGCACAAAAGCAAAAAAAAAGGGGGGTAATTTTTTTATTTTTATTTGTGGGGGGAGGGGGGTCAATTCGCAACAGCAAAGTGTATTGCACAAAAGCAAAAAATTGAATATAAATTCAAATCATAACCAATTCTAGTCTTTGACTACAGTTATTCTGTGTCAGAAACCTTTTATGTGTCAAATATTTAATTACAATCCAAATTCAGACCTGTATCAAGCGCGAATATTGCGTCCATTTTTGCCCCAACTGTTCAGGGTTGGACCTCTGCGGTCGTATCCAGCTGCGCTCGGCGAAGCAATTTATTTTACTCAAATGATGTTACACATATTTATGGGGAAACGGAAAATTTTTACTGAAATTGACACCTTTGAAAAAAGACATATTGTAGTGTTTCTTTTAAATAAGAAAGACGACCGAAAGCAAATATGAAGATGAAATTAAAAAAAATGTACTGATATCTGATGCTTTATAAATATCTGCACAGTGTTATAAATCACATTTTCATATTGCTGGACTACAAAAGTTTTAAAAAGATACTATAATTTCAAACTGATCAGGTAAAATGAATGGTTTTGGAGAAGTTATATTTTTGATTTTGTGTTTTTTATTGTTTTTTTTTTGGATTAAAAACATGGTCAGTTTTAAAGAAGACAATGAATGAGACACATTAAAAGTATATCTTGTGTTGTTAATAAAGGCCAATGATTGTCCTTTATGGCACTGCCGATTTTAACATACTATATTGCACTTTCTAAGTAGTATAGCGTTTCATTATGCACATTTGAGACTACTATAATGTATATGTGTTATAATAGTCTAGATGCACATATTGACACAGTTTTGGCTCCTGGAGCCCAATTAGTGTTACATTAACCTATTATGTCTGTTTGAGTTTCTCACCCAATTTGTTAATTTAACGAAACTATAAACAACTGTTATACAAGTGGGAGGTTTAGCTAGCTATAAAACCAGGTTAAACCCACCATTTTCTTCATAAAATGCCTGTGCCAAATCAGGAATATGACAATTGTTTTCCATTCGTTCTGATGGTTGATAAAGTCTAACGTTTGATTTTGTTAATTTTTATAGACTTCCCCTTTTTGAATTTACCTTGGGGTTCGGTATTTTTGTTATATTTTTGGCGTTGTCCATTTATTAGTTTCAAATCTCTCAATGTCGATTTGCTTGTTGGAATTTCAAAACACTTTCCAGTAATGGTTCACATTGGATGTGCTTTCTTGAGATATTCGTCTGGTGTATAGCAGAAACCAGCCCCTCATTCTGTGGTTCTTGACGTTCAAGTTTGGCAATCATAAAAGAGACACATATACTCAAGCAGTTGATCAAACAATGAATTATGTTCCAGATTTTATGAAATATGAATTTTGTTCATGCAATTATATGCAAATTATCAATTTTGGAAAACGCTGGCGGCACTTTCTTCCTACTCGATCTCTTCTGCTCTTTTGCCTGTGCCCTTACTTTTCAGACCGACTTATTATTGTATTTAATGTTGTCTAACATGCTTGATAGAATAGTAAGCTATTGGAAATTTACAATAAAACCAACCGATACTCAATAAACAAGAAATTTTAGGCAATGATTGGCCTGTTTTGTTCGGATTTCACATGATACATTTATTGTTGAACAACTGGACCTACCTTCACTCTACTGAACACAAATTATAAAATGTTATTTCTTCGAAAGTGTTACCGACTCTAGCATACCACTTGGTTGACTGTTACAAATACATGATATTTAAAAATTAAAGTTGTCGTTACCACACCCCGATCTTGATTCTTTGTTGTGTCTTTTTTTTTAAAGATTTTTACATATCATGGGCATTCGATTGTTGTGATTAGTGACAAAGCACCCGAGTTCACCCTTGGTTTTTTAATGAGTTCATGCTGCTCAAGTCTTCGATGAAATGTTAAGTGGGCTATTTGGTTTCTTTTCCGATGGAAGTGTACCCGACTAAATACCTTTGATATCATTTTCTGTATTTTCTATTTTTCCGACTCCATGACCTTGGGCGTTAAGTAACCAACATATAACCAAATGCAATTGACGAAGGTTATGAATTTAACTGATCCCTTATTATTTAGTTAACAAAGTAAAAGATTTTAGAATCTCAAGACGTATGTTTTTATTACAATATCAGTAAAACTCATCAAAGATACCAGGCTTATAATTTTGTACGCCAGATGCGTGTTTCGTCTACATAAGACTGACCAGTGGTGGCACTCGAATTAAAACAGTTGGTTGGCCAATTTAAATACGAAGTTGTAGAGCTTTAAATAAAAAAGAAATCGAAAATACAGTAAGGCAAACTATACCCTATACCTGGGGGTAGAAGAACCGGAGTGTTTCGAATAATTTAACATTTTATGTACAGTACATTTACAGAAAATTACCATATCAATGAGGTTTCATGTCAACACAAAAGTGCTGACTACTGGGCTGGAGAAACCGTCGAGACGAAACACACACAAGATGTGGCATCGACACAATGGGTTTTAAAATTCGTCAAAGATACAGAGCTTCTAATTTTGTACGCCAGACGCGCGTGTCGTCACAAGACTCATCAGTGGCACTCGAATTAAAACAGTTGATAGGCCAATTAAATACTCAGTAAAATTTGGTTTTGGATAACACTCAGTAAAATGTGATTTGGAATAAAAGTCAATGAAACAAACTCCCTGAAAAACAAGCTCACCTAAACATGCTGATGCCACCATACGGTCTTGAACGACGGATAACCTCACAGGATTCATGTTGTAATGTTTGCTATTTATTACGAAGTTAGATAGGTATAAAGACAAAATATAATGCTTCAAAAACACATTCTGTATAAATAACCGTGTATAAATATCAGACAAGATGCTCGAAATTACATTTACTAACCCATTGAAGAAGTAATAATGATACATTTATTAAACAAATTATACCAGCAAGTGATTTGTATAGTATCTTATAATAAATCCTTGACCAGCATTTATAATTGTTAAAAATAGTTTCAACGACTTGCACAAAAGCCGTTTCAATATTGCATGGTTATAAATTTGATATTCCACTTTCCATATTTTCTATTGTTAACTACTAGGACCTGATTCTTGAGAGTACAGTATTGTATCATGTAGAAGCTACTTGAAACTCTTAAGTTACTTAGTAAGCCCACGCAATGCATGGAACAAAAGGTTATTATTAAAATGCTCTTGGTTGTAGAGTGAACATATTATGCAAAGTTAAAAGTTATAAATCAGATCATTTTAAAGCATCCTTCAATACACTGCATTTAACGTGGATAATCGCGCAATGGAATAAATACGATGCCACTAGTATTTTTGTTAAATCGGGAGCTGTGTACATACGGGTCGAGGAAGTCTGTAGTTGGTTCAATTATTGTGCGTGATGATTCAGAATAAAGCGATAATTTATCCATGCTTCCGTGAAGAGAAGCCCTCGGAATATCATATGCTTCTTTAGAAATTTTCTTAGCAGTAGCATAATCTGGTGGCAGGCTTATATTTGAGGGATCCGATTGGAATGATGAATTTGTGTGCGCTAACCAATGGGTAATCCAGGATCTGTTGCTTTGTTTGTTATCAAATTTGGAAGGTTCTTCGGACTTATAAGAACGAGTGCATTTTCTGTCATTCTTCTTACTCCAACGACGTCGATTTTTTGTTCTGAAAATGTTTCACAATTGTTATGGTTCAAAAACAGAAATATGGTAATATTTTGAGACACGTATGAAAACAGAAATATGATTAATATAAGATTACAAGTGTTGTTATAATTATTCAGATCTACTTTCTTTTTGTCCAGTTTCAAGTAGACAAGAAGAAACAATTTGATTAAAGTGTATTTAAAACTTTATTAAAGTCCGTTTTTCCGAAAATCCCTTTATATTAAGTTAAAAAAAATTAATTATTACAAACTAAACTAAACTCTTACCTTAATAAGCAATAAATTAGTGTTATACAACACAGAACAAAAAGTGGTAAGGTCAAGACAAGGACCAATATCAGAACGAGGTCCGCATCTGAAAAAGGTCATAGACTTGCATAGCAATTTATAAAACATTTAATTACCATCATATCTATATAGAAAGCAAATGTCAGGGGAGATCAAATACAAATGTCAGGGGAGATCAAATACAAATGTCAGGGGAGATCAAATACAAATACAAATGTCAGGGGAGATCAAATACAAATGTTTTCCGGTTGTATGAATGAGGCTTGTCAAAAGATAAGTGTAATGTGTTCAACCGGATTTTTCAAGTCGAATGTTTGAAGAAATTGCGTTTCCCTGGATATTTAGTGGTAAATTTAACAGGTGTACTTGATGGAATGCTGAACAACAAGTTTTATGGTTAAACAGCAAGATGTGTAATAATCAACTTGAGTGTTAAAAAAAAGGAAAAAAATAAAGTACGTGCATAGCTCTTCATAACGTATCCAAATTTAAACCATATATAACTATATATACCTATGACTGAAGACGAAATAACCCTATACCGATGATTCTAACCGAATTCATATTAAAATAATACGCTGACAAGGCGTGAGATAGAATAGCAATTAGCGTAGCGTAACAGTAAAATATTGGAAACAAGGGACTTTATATATGTATAAAATTTAGTCTATTTTTCTATGTTTAATCTGAATATCTATTTGTTTCAATTTTAATTCCAAGATGACTCCTACTGTAAAAAACATATGCGTATGTGTGTAGTCGCATGAAACGTTGAGTCAAAATCAAATATTTTCTAATTCCGATTAGTCCTATAACGTATTGGAATAACCATTCCAGTGGCTTTTTCAGACATTCCTTGACAGACATGTGGTCATTTAGTTTATAAACATTATCTTAGAAATTGGTTGCGCGTGTAAAGTTGGAACATACATGACAACAGAATAAATAGGGAAAAAAAAAGAACGATCTAAAATTAAAACTTGCAAGTATACATTTTCTCACTGTAGCTTCAGATATAGTGGAAAAACGTATGTAAACATTAGAACAGAAATATTGTAAGGCGGTTACCTTGATTTGTACCTGTAGGAGCTTCTGTTACAGCTGGTCTAATGTTTGTTGTGTGTACCGTTTTTCTAGACGTTTTTAACCATACTCCATAAGTCTTAGTTCCTTTGACAGATTGTGTACTATTGACAGTCGATAAAACTCGATTCATGGTAACGTTTCTGGTTTTCAATAGATTATTAATTCTTTGAATGATTGTTAATGTATAGGAATTTTTCGATGTTTGCGTGGTTTTTAATGTCGTCGTAACAACGACAGAAGCCAATGGATTTGTCGATGTTTTAGTTAATGTTTGTGCAGGCTTTATCTTTGTTTGTTTTCCTTGAATTGTTGATTGGCTTTCCGTTATATTCCTTGCTAAATGCGTCTTTAAATTCTGCGACAATGTAAAATTTTGAGAGTGAGACTTTATACAAGGTCGTGTTGGAGTAGTAGAAATGGTTGTTCTAAAACCAGACGTTGAATTTAAAATAGTCGTCGAAATGTTTGATCCTTTTGTCGATGAATGTATTGTTGTTCCGACTGATGAAGTGTATTTCTGAGAAGACTGAGCAACTGTTACTTTCGAATTTTGTTGTGTTCGCTGGATTGAAGAAGTCGAAAATTTGATTGATGACTGCTGGTTAATGGACTTTGCTGTTAATTCTTGGCCAACTGACCTGTGTGACATCTGTACAGTATTCATTTTCTGTACAGTCGTTAATTCTAATGTCTTGTGGGAACTTGGTGTAGGCTTGCCTGTGAAAGTTAATGAAGTATTGGCTGGAAAAAACATTTAAACTTAAGCTGAAATGAAGATGGAGGAAATTTAATTTCTGTGAAAAAAGTTTATTGCATATATTTTTTTTAAATTCAACTTCCTTTCCCTATAAATATCCTTGGTTTTCGAATGATGTTGCTTTGGTCTTATTCATATTTATAATGCATCAGAGGTCAATGTTTCACGAAGTTTTTATTTCCAGGACATTTGAAATTGTGCCGACATGCTGATGATATAATGGCGTGTTTTTTAACGCGTTCAAGAATAGTTTTTTTGTAAATTTAAGTGTCAATCCAAACTTGCCGTACATAGATACTGTTGTCAGAACATTAATATAAGTTGTTAACATGACTATTATTGTACTATTGGACATACTTTTGGAAATCTATGGAATATGTCAGTATTTGTTTTTTTTCTTCAAGTTTTACATTTCAAAGTAACATCTAAGTAAATGAGTGATCTCACGTATTTATTGTTTTGCATGAAACTAAAGCATGAACAATTGCATATGAATATCGAAAAAAAAGTAACTTTGAAACTGTTTGGGATATGCCTAAATTGTTAACTTACTGTGTTGACAAATAAAATGTTGACAAGAGTTACACGCAGATATACTCCATTGATCTGAACTGACATATGCTATGCACCCGTCACTGTTCAGTTTTCGATTCGTAACTCTTTTCCACCCGTAACTTCCATCAACAAAGGGTTCACCTAAAATAAATTAATAATAACGCGATAACTACAAAGCAATGTCTTTTAAAATATTTGAAAGCTGATGGTAGAAAATAAATAAAAGAAGGTTTTAAGCAGTTAAGAAAAACTTAATATTAGTCAAAAGGCTATCGGAAAAATAACACATGAACGTAAAAATTTGAACGTCACAAATCCCTTTCGAAATTGAGGGTAAACCGAGCTGATCCAACCCAAGAATCAAAAAACGAAAACAAATGCACTGATTTATGTACAAAAGGATAAACGAATGATTGTTAATCAGTATAATTTAGCCGAAAACCGCTGTATGTAGGCTATGGTATGTCCAGTCCTCAACTTCAGATAAAATTTGAAATCAATACTTGTTTCTGTAATAACCTTTATTTCGTACGCTCGTTATAAGTCTGATAAGCCAAATATTGTGTAAAATTTGGGAGCATATTTAAAAAAATAAAAAGTAACTAAACAAACCACCAAAGCCCTCTGAGATGAACTTTGTCTGAGAAAGTTGAAATTTAAAAATCCGGTTTCTACAGTATGTAATTTTCATGAAAAACCAAAACATATATCGAAAATCGGAAACTATAAATTAACAAAGTCATGCAATACATAACACGGTTAGAAATAAACTTTAAAACATACAAGTCGAAAAGAGACACATCCATGGCTAAAGAAAAAAAGACATACAAATAAACAAAATTAAAATGAAAACATAGTTAAGGAAGTTTCGACAAAAGGGTTGATATCAAATGCAACATTGTCAAGAAAAGCTTCTTTCTTTGGGTAAGCAGCTTTCAATCAATTTATCAGCTCATATTTTTCTGGCTTTTCACGTGTTTTATCAGCATATTCTTGATCAAGACTTAGAAATACAGATTAGGTAGACATTCTTTGAAGCTTAGGTATGTATGTGAACAAATATGTAAAAACATATATACCAATATGTAAAAGCTGTAAAAATATACAAATAAATTATATTTGTTACCCTACCATTAATCCATGACCATTTATTATTTTTAGATTTCAGTCCTATTCAGTATGGGCCTTCTGTAAATCCAGCAAACATGTCATTGACATTGTACTGTTTGATGTGAACAAGTCGTCCTTGATCAAAGTGAGTTCCGCAAAAATTGTCAGCCTCTTCCCATGTTTTATTCTCAGAAATTGCTGAGTACATTGTCTTTGGTTTAGTATTTCCTGTAAAAAAATATTATTTTCAATATGTATATTCATATAAAAATCTTTTTTTCTCATGTTATATTTATGCTTTGATGCTGTGTAGGTTAATTTAATTTGTTTAGTTATAGACAAAAACTATTTTCCATGTTTATTGCATAGTTATTTGAAATGTATTAACTTATGTGAAAAATTTATGAAATGAGTTTATTTTTTTATTTTGTAGTTATTTATTTTTGTATCAAACACGTGTGTTCCTTGTAACATTTTCTACCTATTACCATAGTTAAACTACCTACCCCAAAATGCTAATGTCAATATTATTCCATTTAAAATGTTGTATATCCAAAACACCTGTATGTACGTCAACATCGTCCAGCTTGTATCTTGTACTCAGGGTGGATACTGTTCTCAAATATTTATCATTCACGGATTGATAGTTATCTTAAATATTTATCACCTACGTTTATTTTTTGTGATGTGGTCAGAATTTACGTTTACTCGATTCTGACGGATTAGTTTACAATTGGAATTTTATATTTATGCTGTCAGAATTTATTGTCATTAGTAAAATTCTTACAAAATATGTTGTATACCCTGCTTTATCAAATATTTGTTCCAGACGAAAGTACAATTCTAGAGGTCTGCCATAACAACAAGATATTGGCTTGATCAAAACTGAAACTCCAGTGATCATGTAGATTTATTATATCTGTGGATGCCGTATCATTTTGGTGTACTAATTTTATGAACTTCGCTGATATAGTTCAACCACGAATTTGAATAATCAAGTATTTGAAGAAATACATATTTCCTATATGCTTGTATGCAGAAATTGTTATAACCAGGAATTAAAGGATTCAGGAAAAAGCAAACTTTCCAAAATTTTGGTCACGAGCGAACCTAATGATGTTTATTCTAGAAACAGGCCCTGTGCCAATGGTTTTCTACTGAGTTGGTACGCGACTGGTTAAGTTTCCGTCTCTTTAATGGTAGCGTCTGCCCATCAGGCAGTTCTTCATTATTGGTATGATAAGCTTAGTACATTTTGTTTGTAAATTTTCAGTTCATAAATGTTTGTAATTGTGCGTCAACTAATGTTGCAACTCCCTCACACAAAGTCGACCTTAGAAGTATTTGGCTGTTCTCTACACTGTAGGAATTATTTTATCTTTTTCGTGAATTTATACACCACCAAATATATTAAAAAGAAATTGTCTTTCATGCTTTGTCGAGGCAGTAAATTTCTTTCCCGCGCTTAATGTATGCTCATATATTTTTACAGTTAGTGCGTATCTATTCTTCAGATAACTTCTCTTTTTGTGCACTACTTAATTTTTTTTTATTTCGACCAGTGGATAATGTTTTGCATTTCACTCGAATCATGTTCTCTATTCATACATTATTTCCTGATTTATATCATACCCTTCTTAGAATTAGAAATTATGAAAAGAATCTGAGGTTAGATGGATTTAGCTATTCTTTGCGACACTGTTGGTCATCACTCATTCGAGTACTTATACATCATTGACTTTGTTGGGTAGAGCGGTCCTAATGAAGAGAAATTCAGAAAAGCACTTCTAAATACTTTTTTCATTTCATTTCCTAATTTCCAGAGTTGTCGACAAGATATTTGATGTGCCTTGTGTTTGTAGTGTTTTTGTGTTGTGACTATGTTTTTTGTTGTAAGATTCATGATAGTATTTGTTAGATTTTTATTGCCCAATATAGTTAATATTTTGAAGATTCCACGCCAATCTGTTTTCTTCAATGTGTGATCGACATTTTGCAAATAAATCTACTCAAATGGATACTAGAAACCATCCAAAACTTGCAGTGAAGTTTGAATTATTGTCCCATGTTAAAGTCCCCGCTGTGATTTGACTGAGATGAAGAACAATAATAATAGCGCTGTTCATTTACGTTTGGTATCGTCAAGTGCATGTATTTCTATCAAATTAGCAGAATATGGGTCTCTTTATGATTCTAGGTTGTGCAGTACGTTCTTCTTTCTTTCTGCCAGTTTGTTTATCGAAATTGTTATGTAGCCCACCTAAAACAGTTGCACTATTTATATTTTCCTGCGAAGTTACATAACATATATTTTGTAGCTTGGTTGACCTTTGGATAAGAATACAACTCAAACCAGAGTAAGGGATCGTCTTAAATATCCAATAGTGTGAGTTTTTTTCCCGTTCTGAAGGCCTCACTGTGATTTAAAAGGAAGGACAGCAATTAAAGTGCTGTTCATATTTGCATTTGGTTTTGTCAAGATTGTGGAGGCATTTTGTGTCATGAATTTGAATACTAGTACTTCATGTCCTTTGTTTTGCATTACATATACACATGTTTTGCTCAGAAAAAATCATATTGTTTGTTTTTACAGTCGACTTAACCTTGACGCTTTGTTTCTGTAACTACAGTGCATATTGGAATCATATGAAGGTAAAATGGTCCTATACTGTTTCGTTAAAGGTTTTTGATGAACAGTCGAATATTGTAAACGTACAGGAAAAAGATTTCCGACAAGCAATAAAGTCAACAGATCTTCTGTATTTTATCTAACAGCATTTTTCTAGGTACCGCTCGTTTTGCAGAACTCGTCGCATTTAATGTCATAATTAATCAGCAATGATGATGTTAAATTTGCGTAATATTGTCCTTGATTACTTTTCAATGATATTTACTCTTTTTCATTTGGGACTTTTGGCGATCTTTCTTCAAAATGCCTTTTTCATTACATTTAGGTAATAATGCTTCAGCTATCATTGTGTTATTTCTTTAGAATAATGTTGATTTTGTCATCGATAAATCGTGTTTTCGGTCTCAGTGGAATGCAAAATGTGAGTCAGTTCAAAAATCGTTCAGTTCAGTTATAAACATACAATAATAGAAATGATAGCAGTCGTCATCATGGCATACACTTAAACGCACTGAGACTAGTTTACTCGGTATTATGGGCCTAAAATGAAAACTACTGTGGTAAAAAGGAAAACAGATACAACCCTTTAAACAAGGCAAAACAACTGAAAGAACAAAATTATAGATGAGGCTATGAATAGAAAGAGTGAAAAAAGAATATAACGAGGAAAACATAATTTAGACAGGGCAAAGATATCCTGTCCCATATCGATTATATTGCCTAGTGTTGACCAAATTCGGTATCAGAAGTACCTAGTAACAAATAGGACACGCATTTATGGGCGCCTTAATGCCATTGGAATATACCTATTTTTTTGGATACATATAGAAAACCACGCTGAGTCCGAATTCTTAAGGTGGACAAGTGGACAAAGAACAAATACAAATTGTACAGTTGTTGGTTTGACCAACTACCTCTCGCTATTTGGCTAGCATGCTACAATGAGACCAAAGAATCACGGGGCAACGATCAACTAACCCATGATGGAGACCTTACATTAGCTGAACAGGAACTGACTACTCTTCCAGGGCACATGAATTCATCTCCGCCTTTTGACGGGTCGTATTGCTAAATATTAATTTTCAGTGTTGTGTTTTGCGAACTGTTGTTTGTTTCTTCGTTTTTTTTATTTTGTCTGTCGTTCGTCCATTTATGGTTGAAGCATTGTTCTTACTTTTTTGTAAGGTGATGGATGCTTAATCTGCAAAGAGCGGTAAATAATTGGTGCACTTTGATTGCCAACTATCTGTTGGAAAAACTATACCTTTAATTCAACAAAAGTAAATCATTCCATTGTATATACTTCTTTCTGAAGACTTTTTGTTTTAATCAGATTTATAATGAACTCTATTTGATTTATCTTATACATCAAAGTAAAAATATTACAGCTCGTTTTTTACTAGCAGGGCTATCACTACGTTTGATTTGTGTATGTTACACTAGTACATCATCATTAAGTTCGCTTTTGGTTCCGTATACTTATCAGTTAAGTTTTAAACGATTGTGGGGACTTTTCATTTTCCGGTCTGTGCTTTTATTCCTTATTGTGTTTGTTCGTTCTACCGTTCTTTTCGTCCATAAGTCTGTCCCGTCTCAGATTAAAATGTTTTGTTTAAGTTGGTTTACCATGCAGTTTGGGTTACATCAACTTGAAACATAGTACACAGGCTTATTATGGTCTGAACATTGAAAATTATATGCCATAATTTTTACCCAGATTTTAGTGGTTCAAATGACAAGGTTATGTAAATTTGTATAACCGGTGCACTCAAAACAGGTTCAATTTTGGTCTAGGATCAACTTGAAACTTAGTACGCATGCTCATTATGGTATGAACTTTCAAAAGTATATCAAATTAAGGTTTTGGCGTATTGCAGGGCATGGTGTGTAAAGGAACATAAGCTACAATTTAGAGAATTAATATATTTGTTTTAGCTATGAATAAACTCATCAAAGATACCAGGATTAAAATGTTGTACTTCAGACGAGCGTTTCGTCTACAAGAGACTCACCAGTGACGCTCGAATAAAAAAAATAAAAAGGCCAAAATAGAGTACGAAGTTAAAGAGCATTGAGGACCCGAAATTCCGAAAAGGTTTGGCCAAATACAGCTAAGGAAATCTATTCCTGGGGTGGAAAATCCTTAGTTTTTTTAAAACTTCAAAGTTTTGTAAAGAGTTTATTTATAATTATGACCATTTCAATGGTTATTCATGTCAACACAGAAGTGTTGACTACTGGGCAGGCGATACCCTCAGGGGGGACCTCCACCAGCGAATGAGAGCAACACGAACTAAGAAATCCCTTTACTATTGCACGTGCTTACCTGTCTATTTGTATTTTATATATACTTATAATTATAACGGGGTCATATGCTCATTGACACTGTTCGTGGGTCATTTTTTTTGATAATTAGATGGCGTCATGTCAGGAATACACACTGAATGTTGATACTTTTATAAAGATTCCAAACAATGTGTTGTTATCTATGGAACTTGTGTAGTTCTGAATTATGTTGGAGTATATATTTAATTAAATTCAAAAGTTTGAACGAATTTGGTGGGCACAAATTTGGCAGCAAATGCCCCTTCAATATACACATATTCTTGTTTAATCATAATCTCAACACTAGCGTTGGATTACAAACTTAAAAATACCATAATTAAATTTAAAGGAGACCCATTAGACTGGAACCAAACTTGGCAAGACTATTTATTGTTTTGTCCTCTATTGACTTAATTTAACTACTAGTAGATGGTAAATATTGTAAACGTAAATCGTTAAGACTTTAAAAGATAGAATTTTAAACTCATTAAAATATATGTTTTCAATGAGGTATTTAGAAAACACGTTCTTTCTAAATATAATTCAGATTTTCTTTATTTAATAAAGAAGTTAATCTAACTAAGCATACTCCCACTAAGTACAACTTTAAAATCAAACTTGTTCTTTTTCAAATTTGATACAAGAATTTCTAGCGGCTGTCTTCATACACAATTCACGAAAGACGTCTCGTTCTTCCCTATTTTTAATATTTGCTTGATGGTCTCCTTCCGTGTAAACTTTACATTATTAGTCGGTACTATATGTGCGTTTTTACAGTGTTCTCAGACTACAATAACATCATATTATAATTACTAAACATTCTGCAGTACATATCATAAATTGATCCGGCGAAAACTACTACTTGTTAATTGATTTCGGGGTATGAAACCACTGCAAGAATTAAATAGCAAGAGGTATTTCATATCTAAGTGACTTGCGGAAACTCAGAATAAGTCAGGTGACCAACAGTTGTTTTTAATATCTTCACTTTCATTTATTCATAGGCATGCCACTTTAATTTTTACTGAAATATTTACTGAATTAACCTTTGTAGTTTTTGCATTTACTTAATTTTCTGTGCTCCGTTTTTTTCTTTTTATTATGGATACTTGTATTTGTAGAACGTGGTGATTATACTATTCTAAATGTTAATATAATTACTTATAATTATTAATAACCATGCATTGTCATGAATGGTAAATGGTTGTTTTAAGTTGTTGATTTACCAAAATCTAATGTTGTCTAACCTCATGTCGTGTATATTCTGTCCTTGATTTTTTAGTGTCCGGTTTCCTGCTTAAATGGAGGATTCTTTAGTCAAGTTATCATTACCCTATGTGTATGGTTGACTTTAGACAACGCCGAGTGTCTTCGATAACTATATAGATATAGTCTGTAAGTTATTTTAGTAACTTGATGCATGGATGCCAATGTGAAGGAGGACTTCATTCCTTTCCGGTGTGCCCGAATTCACCCATTCTTTAATTGGAATTTCGTTTATTATATAGTTAATTCCCTTAAAGAGGTGTTTTATTTAACCTAAATATATTACAAATAAACAAAAAAAAATTAACAATCTATAGGAATCCAACGTAAACAGTAATCATTTTCCCTACCGTGACATCGATTTCATGAAGTTTTTGTACCCAAAATCACGAAAAAGGGGAAATAGTTAACTATTTTTTACTGCAAGGTGATATTTCTCCTCTGATTCGCTATACGCGTGTTTGCAAATGCATTTTGTATTCTATTGAATGTTATTAAATTCTTTTACCAAATATATTGGCAACCAATTGTTTTGTTTTATAAACTCTTGCTCTTTTTTTAGTACATTTAAAAGCATGTTTCCACTTGTAGGTATTTAAAAAATGGTATTTCCTACCAGCTATTTTAAGATTTACACTTTCGAGAAAGTTATTGGCAACTATTACATCTCTGTGAATTATTTGCACTAAACTATTAATTGATATTGCACTGCATCGTTTTTCATTTACTGTTTATGATGCTATTATATAGAATCAATTTTGATATACATTGGCCGATAAAATATGAAGGCATTATTTAATAATCAACATATTTATAATTTGATTTTCTTTTAGTAGTTTCAAAAATTATTTGACAGGAACAGGTTGAAAACTCACATCATATCATTCTTATCCTGCACCGTGTTCATATGTAGAATGTAGGTTAATTGAGAATATCGTCAGGGTCTTAACTGGACCTCTCCTCGTGTTTATGTATTGCATATTGAGAATTTGGTGTAAATTTGTGGCAACAGTAGTTTACCGATAATCAAACCTCGTAAATCCTTTTCGAAGAGACAAACCAAGAGAAAAGGGCAAAATGGAATGGCAAAAACTCTAAACGAAGCGAGACATGGTGCTGCGGCATGGTAAGTTTCCCCTATGGTAGCCTTTGGTTGTCAATTTTGAACATATATTTTCAAATGTTGGGTAAATGGCATGATGAACACTCATTTACCTTCCCTTTAATCTCACACATGTATATGCCAAATGTCAAGGGATGTATTTCATGCGAGGCGTATTTATCTGTTTTATTACATATTCAATCTATAGTGATTTAATTTTAAAATAGAATTGAGAATGGAAATGCATGCGTTACATAGACGTTCTTTTACTAGTTCTAGCAAATGACATCAGGTTACATGATATATTCTGTGATAAGACTATCATACTAATTTCAAAATATTTGAATAGTCTTTTTTTAGATTTGATCATAAAGCACACAATAGATTAAAATGACGGAGAAATGCTGTAAGTTTTAACCCGTTTTTAAATCAACTTCATTGTGTAGAACAGATAGATTTTTTTACGGATCACAATTTTTAATCTCCAGGATCAGGTCGTATGAGATTAAGAAGTTCTGGTATCTTATGCACAGCTGATGTAAACTCTTCTTTGGAAATTGAATCGTCATTATTTCTGTCCATGGCGTCGAACAACTGATTTGCTACTGTTTGTGGATTTATTTCGTTCGCAGAGGTCCCAAACAGGTCGTTGTAAGCCTGTAAATTAGAAGTGAAAACAGATAATTATTTCACGAAAAAACTGAGTCAGAGTACGGTTATACAATATATCGTATCTACTTAAAGATGGTGTCAATATTGCTTTAGTACGGTTATACAATATATCGTATCTACTTAAAGATGGTGTCAATATTGCTTTAGTACGGTTATACAATATATCGTATCTACATAAAGATGGTGTCAATATTGCTTTAGTACGGTTATACAATATATCGTATCTACATAAAGATGGTGTCAATATTGCTTTAGTACGGTTATACAATATATCGTAACTTCTTAAAGATGGTGTCAATATTGCTTTAGTACGGTTATACAATATATCGTATCTACTTGAAGATGGTGTCAATATTGCTTTAGTACGGTTATACAATATATCGTATCTACTTAAAGATGGTGTCAATATTGCTTTAGTACGGTTATACAATATATCGTATCTACTTAAAGATGGTGTCAATATTGCTTTAGTACGGTTATACAATATATCTACTTAAAGATGTTGTCAATATTGCTTTAGATGTAGACATACTTGACAGTAATTATAAAATTATTTTAAGTCGCTTGAAATCAATGCGTACTTTATAATTTATTTCAATTATATTATTGTATATTATTATATAAGTCTAAATTTGTGACAACTTCACGACACGCGTTCTCCGTCGGATAACCGTTGGTTATACATGGCTAAAACTATATTTTTTTTATAAATGCTTCGTCTGTATTCGAACTCCTGCATGTTTCTGTGACATCATTTACTGTGTTGTAGCCCTACGACGAGGAAATGCATTACTCGTGAGTCGATAAACGAAAGCTATATGTATGTATAGTCTAGTTGACTGAGTGGTCTTAGGTTGTGCACACAGTGCAGGCGATGTTGCAACAATGTAACAAAAGCAGCGGTTCGAATTTATTTGTTAAATCTCGCCGAGGGGAGAAAAAAAATTTGCTAACGCAAATGTGTCATCTTACATTGTAAGCTAATTTCCGTGAACGAAGTATAGCTAGGCAGTGTTGTCACAGAAGTTAGAGGAAAAAGTATAGGTTTATAATTAATGGAAAATTTAATATTCAGGAGTCATTTCAATGTGTTAGTGTTTTACGAAATCGTAGTGTAATGTTTGTGTATGTGAATGTCATGCTGACCATCAAGGGTCTTTAATTAATTAATTAATTAATTAAAATAACAAAAATTCTTATTCTTATAGGTTCCAGCTTTAGTTCGAAATCAGCAACTTTTTGAGAGTGACTTCTTCAATAACCTTATAATTTAAGATACCGATCCTTCTGTTCAAGTTTTCAGAATGAGCAATTACATAAACGATGTTAACCAAAAGTTGTTACCTTTTGCAAAAGTAACTGAACTTTAAAAATTTCCACCAATCTAAATTATTTATTTTTTGAAATAGTCAACATACTAAACGAGGTATTCTATCCAAAACGCATAGCGGGTGATTGGTATATGAAAAGCTGCATTATTAAACAATCACAATATCTGTAAGTCAATAATTGTTGATCAATTCTGGCAATTTGTCAATTTTTTCTTTCATGCACGTTTTATAACTTCAAATTTAAAATAATAAGTTGAATATAAAATAGAATTTTCAAGGTAATCGATGATAAGTGCAAGCAGAACTTACCGGTTGATTAACACTTTAAATTGAAAATAACCAGACCTGTTTTAAATTGCATTGTAGGAGGTGCGTAATTGGTTGTAAAATTTTATCCGCTGAAGACAACATATAATAAAATATCATATATCCATTCGTGTCCAGTGCTAGTTATACTCTATAATTTGGGCTAAACTATTTTTATAAGTATATTTTTCTTGAAACAAAATACAGTAGTTGATATCATTTAGGTTCATGTAGAAATATATATCAGTTCAATGCTCCATCAGTCCAAGGAGAAAAGGTTTATGAAAAAATGAAGTATAATAATACTGAGCAATTATCTGGCCGCTGAAATTCCGAAATAAATAAAATTATTTAATCAATTCAAACTTCTGCTTGTTTAATTAATATATAAAGACAATATGACGCTGTAACATGTACTAGCTAGGTGATCATTGCTTATGGTTCGTTCGATTTGGCTGTTTTTAAGGTACCCCCACAGACACACGGCTACGGGTAAGATGCATGTTGAAACTACAATGGAAATTTATGATTACAAGCCTTATCAAAAAGGTATTTTCTTCACATAAACATTTTGTAATAAAATATCTTTTTGGCTAAGGCCTTGGATCAGCTTCTAATTCTCGGAATGGTGCAATTTTGGCAGTTTGTTTGTAAAATGCAAGACGTTTGAAGCCCTATAGCAAATTTGTAATACACAATTCATGAATAATATCACTGAAATCTAGTAAATCGATGTCTTGTGGACATCTGTTTAAAGGATGTTATTTGATAGATCTATAACACTTTTTTTGATTTTCGAATTTAAGGGACGACAAGTTGCATTAACTCGCGATTCACTTGAAAGAGAAAAAAAAGGCTACACATTTTTTATTCGGATATTCAATATTAGATTATTATTAAGTCCACGGTAGATGGTTTGTCTTAAGGAACAAGATATTATAACGTAAACAGTACGAAATGGTACACCAAAATCTACCCAAAACAGAATTTGAAATATTCTTAATAGAAAAATCATTTACTAGCACCCCTTCATATGGATGATTTTTGTCGAGCCTTCGACTTTTGTCGAAAAAGCGAGACATAGCGATCCTACATTCCGTCGGCGTCGTCGTCGGCGGCGGCGTCCACAAATATTCACTCTGTGGTTAAAGTTTTTGAAATTTTAATAACTTTCTTAAACTATCCTTGATTTCTACCAAACTTGGACAGAGTCTTGTTTATGATCATAAGATAGTATACAGAAGTAAATTTTGTGAAAAAAAATCCAGTTTTTCCGTATTTTACTTATAAATGGACTTAGTTTTTCTGCCAGTTAACATTACATTCACTCTGTGGTTAAAGTTTTTAAAATTTTAATAAACTTTCTTAAACTATCCAGGAACTTTACCAAACTTGGACAGAAGCTTGTTTATGATCAAAAGCTAGTATCTAGAAGGAAATTTTGTAAAAATTTATTTCCTGTTTTTCCGTATATTAGGTCCAAGGACACAGTTATCGTCCTCTACAAATATAGTCCCTAGTGTGAACAGTGTATAACTTGCATTTTTTTTTGATACACTTTCCCAATTTATTTCTTGATATTTTATGCATGAAATATTGAGTAAGGGGATGACATTACATGTTAAAAAAATTTGGGTGCTGCATCTTTATGTTAAGTAGTGATTTGGTCCAGTTAAAAAAGGTCAAAAATTAGAATGTCTGAAGCTGTCAAACTGAATTTTAGTCCCCCTTAACACAGAATTGTCAATATTTTGAGTTAGAGCTAGTAGGTTTCTATAATTTTGATATTATTTGTATCAATAGTAGTACACTACACTGTAAAAATCTTTTTGAGATAGAGCAGGTGCGATTTTTTTAATTTGAATTTATTGTCTAAAAGTCTAAAAGAAATGCACTACGAAATAACTGTGTTCTCGGGCCATATTACTTATAAATGGACTTAGTTTTTCTTCCAGTTAACATTACATACAGTTAAAGTTTTTAAAACATTTATTAGATTCGTAAACCATCCTGGATTTTTACCAAACTTGGACAGAAGCTTCTTACAATCAAAACATTGTATCTAGAGGAAAATTTTTTATATTTTTTTCCCCATTTTTCTTGACATAGCGATTCTACATTCCGTCGTCGTCTGAATTACGGGATAAATCATCAAACAATGTAAAAATTATCTTCTTTATCATTTGTTCATTCAATAAATTTATGTTTCAACTCTTTTATAAATCTATAGATTTGATTGCATACTGTATTCATTTTTACAAGCATAACTTTTTTCATACATTTCAAACGTTTTAATTCATTAACTGTAAATCTATTATGTGCATTCCCCTATCACACTGAAAACATAGATAACAGCAAAAGTAGGCGAGACACTGGGTTCCGCGGAACCCTTACGAATTTTCTTATTTAACATGTACCCCTTCCCGTACAAACAAGAGAACATCATTTCACATTATTTAATTTTATGTTTTAGATATACCCCTTATATGATATCAATGCGAAATGATTACTTTTAATAATATAGGCGGAGTTTTTTTTTTAAGGAATTGTGACCTTATTAGAAATATAGCATGATAAATACTATTTACTACATTTAATGAAGCAATGGTGTAAGTAGAATGGTATAATATAAAATCAAATTTGGTACGTTTGCTCAGATATCTGACGGCCTTTTATGAATGGTTGGTCCAACGACCCCAGCCAGTCATAGAAAGGCCGTCAGACGTCAGAGCAATCACGGACTAGTTCGGTATATAAAATGGTCTACATTTTATTATATAATGTACCTTAAAAGGATAAATATCAGAAAAATACGTAGCAATACCTACCCGTAGTAGATCTCTGACTTCGACTCTGTCTATAGATCCACTTTTATCGGAATCGAATAAAGAAAATGCAATATTGATTTTATCTTCGACTTTATCACTGTCCATCATACATATTCCAATCACAAATTCAGTAAAATCTACAGTTCCACTGCCGTCCGTATCAAAGCAGTCAAACATCTTATCTGCAAACTTAGTGGCGTTCCCAGGAAAACGTCCACTATAGACACGTCGAAATTCCTTTTTAGATAATTCACTTTTGCCTTTGGAGTTTTCTTTGAAAATTTGTTTTAAATCATCATATTGTTGGTTTGTCAGATGAAATCTATCCTGGAGCTCCTTCTTTGGAATAGTACTCGGTTTGCCTCCCATTCTTGCCTTTTCATTAGTGTAATCTTTTTGTGAATAGAAAATAGAGAAACTTAAAATGAAACACCAAAGCAGAACAAGATATTTATCATCTGAAATAGGTTCTATTCATTTAAATTGCATTTTAATTATTTTCCTTTTCCTGTGCTCGATCATTTTACCATTTGTAGCTTGAATCAGATGTAATGATTTATGAAATCAAACGCAACAATAAAGTCAAAACGTGCGAGTTAATACCGTTTTGTATTTCAATTTTAACAGTTCGAAAAGCAAATGCAATTCACATGAATAGACAATGAATGAAAAGTTACTTTCAATTCTACCTTTACGATCTCAATATAGATTGCTTATTTAAAATTATATGCTAATTGTATAAAAAAAATCTTATTGATAATATAAAATAAATTACTACCTTGCAGTTAATGATAAATATGTGGTACGGAGAAAGTAGTAAAATTGGTCAGTTTGGCATCGGAATTCTCTTATAACGGACCTATTTTCCTTATAAGTATGACAAAAATTTGCAAAAATGTAAATCATATTCCATAGAAACTTGTTCACTTTTACTTTTGTTTACGAATCCGTTTATGTCTACCGACCACCATGTAAATTGAAATGGCACGGACAACTGAATGTACTCCTTATTATCGTTTCGTGTACCCCACCGACCACCATGTAAATTGAAATGGCACGGACAACTGAATGTACTCCTTTTTATCGTTTCATGTACCCTTTCACCTATCCAAACTGCTGTTTTGTGCTTAGTTGTGGCGTTCGGGTGCTGTCTTATTGACGCCTAAATCAGACTGTGACGTATACCCACATTTCCTTTTTAACTTTAGACATGTGATAAGGCACCCGGGTCTCTTCTGAACAATACCGTCTTATGTGAGTGATATTCAAAGATTTTCGCCACATGGATTATTCGAAGGTGTGACTCGTTTCTCGTTTTTTATATAGATTAGACCGTTCAAGTGGTTTTCCCGTTTGAATGGTTTTACACTAGTTATTTTTGGGGCCCTTTATAGCTTACTGTTCGGTGTGAGCCAAGGCTCCGTGTTGAAGACCGTGCTTTGACCTATATTGGTTTACTTTTATAAATTTTGACTTGGATGGAGAGTTGTCTCATTGGCACTCACACCACATCTTCTTATATCTATATACAGAACTTCTTTGCCTATTTCTTTTGATCGATGGCTTTTCTTTCTCTTTTTATGTACAGTCTATGTGTATGTGCCTCTTAACAATTCCCACACAACACCCATTTAAATATCTATACAATTCCCACACAACACCCATTTAAATATCTTAACAATTCCCACACAACACCCATTTAAATATCTTAACAATTCCCACACAATACCCATTTAAATATTTTATAACTGTTAAAAAATCAAGTGTCTCTATCTATCAACAATTGACATACGTCATTTGAAGATCAACTGATACTCCTGAGGTGCTTGGGACATGGAAATAGTACCCTCTTTCTATTGGTTGTTGCTTGATGAAGAATAAGAATGGAGGGTCATCACAAACTCATAGGTGTTGTCATAAGATCGACTAGATTTTAGTAAAACACGTTAAATATATAAAAACAGGTAAAACCTATAAAGGAAAATCATTGTAGAGATCAGAAATTTGAAATCTATAATATGAAGGCTTTTTCTTATTGAACCTTTTGACGAAGAAACTACTGGCAAGTGAACTCGATCCGATCCTAGTTTGGATGAAATTATGTTAATTGTTGTTTTCTTATGAACACCATGTCCTCTCTTTTCAATCTTTTAATTCCAAGTTCATTTAATGATCTTTTGAGTATCACAAAAATAATAGTTGGCATTAGTATAACTTGAATGTATTATCCTAATACATAGAGGGTTAGCGCCTTCAAACATGTTTAACCCCGCCACATCCTGTATGTGCCTGTCCCTAGTCAGGAGCCTGTAATTCAGTGGTTGTCGTTTGTTGCTATGTAACATATTTGTTTTTCGTTCATTATTTTGTACGTAAATTAGGCCGTTAGTTTTCTCGTTTAAATTGTTTTACATTTTTCATTTCGGGTCCTTTTATAGCTGACTATGTGGTATGGGCTTTGTTCGTTGTTGAAGGCCGTACGGTGACCTATAGTTGTTAATTTCTGTGTCATTTGGTCTCTTGTGGAGAGTTGTCTCATTGGCAAGCATACCGCATCTTCTTATTTTTATTATAATTAATGTTTCGGCCTGTTTTTACAAGAACTGCCAAAAAATGGCCGCTTGTTCGAATTTTTCTGAAAGATTTGTTAAATGTGAAATAAAATTGAATCATCGTTCTGTCTTACCGGCAGAGTTAGATTATTTAAATGACGTTTGCTCATTGCCAAAAATAACTCTATCTGCATTAGTCAACGCATTTGTATGAAATACTATATTTTCAATTGATTGTTTTTTTGCAGAAAAATGAAATAGGTTTAAACAGATTTTTACTTTTATTTAAAAAAACAATGTGAATGTGCAAGTGTTTGTGTACATATTATCTTGCAAACTACACTTCACAGGTCTTGAACGTTCAAATAACATAAAATTGAGGACTTGAAACCATAGAGGTGTGCAAGTCGCATTTCTCAGATGAGAGAGTCTTGCTTCGGCCCAAATCTAATATGCCGAAACACAGATGACTCGAAGAAGAGAGATCCTCATTGAACAAGCAACACGAAATATTGATCGAAAATGTTAATAACAAATGTGGTCTGGAAATATTTTAGCATTAGAAAACAAACTATTAGGAGTAAAATTTGGTTAATCAAAGGAAAAATAATTTACCTATGCAGAAAAACTATCCCGTACACCAGAACACTTACATTATTTCAAAATACACATATATTTAATACATCAATTACAATCATATTTTTGAATGTCTTATTATTTCCCCATAAAGGCTGACCTTGATGAAGGACGATTTTTTAAAAGACTTAATATATATCCATATCGAATGTCTTTGAATATAAATGATGTCATCTCATATTTATGAATTACAAATCATAATGGGACGATAATAAGCATGTAGTTATATAAATGCATGACAACAAGTCTCCATGATTAAAATTTATATAAACACACCAATTCTTCTTCATATGACTAGAATTTACACTTCCCTCTGATAGATTGGAAGACCGCCTTTTTGTCAAAAAAGATATAAGACCAGAAATTTCTCCTTTTAGTTTTACGTGAAGAAGAACACTTTATTTTTTTTCATAAAAGCACTGATTAAAAAACAAGGTACATATTTTAAGAATGCTACGTAATTATTGGTTGGATGGTTGATTGTTTTCACTTAACTTATGGTGACAAATACTTTATGAACATTTATTAACAATAAATAAGTTAGTTATGTTCTGCAAAATCATTCAGAGTTGGTCTACCATGATAACGGGGTAGAAATTGGACTGCAACAGGAAAAGATCGTATATTTGGTCAGGTCAGAATTTTTTCCTTACAGTTGTTCATCTACAGATACCTCATAAGAGTAGTTGCAACGTACAGAAAACTCTCCTTAAATTTGGTCGAAAAAAATTCAGACAGTGATGAGAGGAAATGTGATTATAAGTCTAGACACAGACAAGATAATAAAAATATTAGTAGGCATATACGTTCAATCGCTGATACGAAAGGAAAGAAGCCTCGTAGTTAAATTTCGCAATCAGATATATATATATATATATGATGAACCAAATTATATATTATCATTATATTTATTATGGAAGTATGATTCCACCCAAAGGAATTTAATAAAATGTGATAAATAACACCCAGTCTTTTCAGGAATTATCATTTATAACGCTAACAAATCAAGTCTAAGACTTATCCTTTAATTTTCTATTAAAATAATAAAACTATTAAGTATACTGTTGTAGTTTTAGCATTGCGTCTCTTTTGTGTCGTTGGGTTGCTGTCACATTGACGTTTTCTTCAATCTCCTTATATTATTTTTTGTCTCGCCTTGACGGAGTCAAAAAGCGAGACATAGGTATGCTGTTTCCGGCGGCGGCGTCAACAATGTATTAGTTTGTGATTAGGTCTAGTTTATGGTGAACCACTACTGGTAGGTCTATGATATTTGGTATGCAGTTGTATTAGCAATGGCACATCTCATTTCCATGGAGATTATTTGGCCCTGCCCACTAAGTCATAGTCTATTGACTTTGAAACATTTGCTTAGTTTACATGTATTAGTTTGTGATTAGGTCAGTTCAAGGATAACCATTAGTGGTAGGCCAATGTTAATTGGTATGCAGTTGTATAAGCATTAGTGTGAGCCAAAATTTGTTCCTGTGAAAAAAGTTCCAGTGGAACTAATATCACAGGAAATATGTTCTGGGAGAACTTTTTTCACAGATGATTTCTATATAATTTGTTCCATCTCTATAAAATAATTTCCACACTCTACCTGGTGAAATAAGTACCGGTCTGGTGAAATTTGTTCCCTACCTAGTGAAATAAGTTCCGGGTTTATGAGATTTGTTCCTTACCTGGTGAAATAAGTTCTGGGTCTGTGAGATTTGTTCTTCACCTGGTGAAATAAGTTCCTTGTCTGTGAAATATGTTCCACTGGTTAAACAAGTTATCTTATATACTGAGCATTTGTCATCAGTGAGTTTAAAGTTATCATTCATGTGCATTATAAAAATAATTATTATATTAATAATATAAGTAAAAAGTATAAATCATCCAATTCGGATCCTGTGGAGTATAGCAAATGTTTAATTATATACTCTGTAAAAAATATAAAAATGAAACTTTTGAGCCAGAAAAGAGTAGAATAAAAAAAATCATCCAGAAAAAAAGTATATTTAAAGATGAACATATGTACTAATTTGAAAAGGACATACTGACTGATCAATTATATCAAAAGACATGTAGTTTCAAAAGACACACTCTTTTGAAACGTTGTCATGACCTCAGTACATGTATGACTAGAACACGGGGCCATGACAGTTAAAAGGAACCAAGGAGGAATACTACATAAAACATAAATACAAATTATGATACATTACAATGGCTTTTATTTCTTATCATCATCCTATAGTTACAGACATGCCTTCAATTGCAAATGTATCCCATGCACGCACACTCAGTACAGCATTTAGCTTGCATTATAATTTAAGTGTAACAAGAAAATGTTTCACTGTGCAATATGTTGCAAAGGTACTTATTTTCTGTGAAAATATGTTTGAGCGGAACTTATTAATTGATTTCTATGAAATATGTACATGTTCGTTTAAAAATAATATCACAGAAACTTATTTAACTTATTTAAAACTCTAAATACATGTAATATTAATTGGAACAAAATGCATGGAGCTATGATTTTTGTTCCGGAACTTATTTCACATTTGGGCATAAAAATAGTTCCGGAACAAATTTTACAGTGCTGGAACATATTTTCTGTGATATAAATTCCGGTGGAACATATTTCCTATGAAATTTGTTCCGGCGGAACAATTGTCACGCCGGAAAATCTTTTTTGTTACATTAGCACATCTCATTTCCAGGGAGAATATTTGGCCCCGCCCCCTCAATAATGGTCTATTTACTTTGAACTTTTTGCTTGTTTATGTGTATTAGTTTGTGATTAGATCAGTTTTAGATGAACCGCTAATGTTAAGTCAATGATATTTGGTATGCAAATTAATTGGCATTTACAAGTCTCATTTCCATGGAGATTATATAGCCCCACCCCCTCATTATGGTTCATTGACTTTGAAACTTTTACATAGTTTACAAGTTAATGTTTGTGTTTAGGTTTGTTTAAAGGGAACGACTT